CTAGGTTATCGGGTAGAGGAGTAATTCAAATGGAAATCAAAAAGGCGCTAGCTGCATGTTCTCAAGGAACCAGATACACACACATTATGAAATTGTGGAATTTCGTGAATCTTCTTCATCTTCTTGCCTATTTGTCCCTGCCAGGATCGTCAATATACACTTGGTTTCTTTCCTCTTACAAAACCTTCTATCAAAACAGCCCCAGCCGGCCAGGTATTGTACAGTGAAAAGTCGTAATTCCTCCTTCCTCTTCTCGCAAGATGCTGGGGGATTACGTATGGGATGGTGGATTTGCAGCATCATGCCATTGGTGGAGTGACTGCGGATTTTTTTGGGGGCGAGGGCGCCGGAATGTGTGTGTCCACAGGTTTTGGGGGATGTGAGAGAGTAGAGGGGAACTCGTTATGGTGAGAGCTACAACGTTCGAACGAGGCTCTTTTAGTCCAGGCCGACGGTGGGCATGCCGCCGAGGTCAGCGTTGATGCCACCCTGGTACTGGCCAATGTTGAGAGAGGAGTCGTAAGCAATCATCTCGGCGAGAACGTCAAGGACGGGCTAGATGGAAAGTCAGTTCCAGATCGAATGTCGTAGTAGTTTCCAGGGTTTCGAGGAGGTCTCTTACCTTGGGAACGGTCTTGTCGTAGATGCCGATCAGGTCACCAGGCGTAGGGTAGACCTTGAGGCCCTTGTAGAACGCAAGCGCGGCTTCAACGGCGCGCGTGGCTAGAACATCAACAACTGTCAGCAAGCTGGACCATCTCTCGTCTTCTCCCGGTCATTCGTTCTCATGTAGGGGTTGGACTGACGGTCTGCGGAGAGGGTCTCTCCCTCGGAAACCTGCTGGAGGAAGTATGCCTCCTTCTGCTCGACGTCGGTAGGGAAGCCCTCCTCCTTGGCCTCATCGACGGCCTCCTTGATGGATTCCCTCTGGCGGACGGTCTCCTGCTGAGCCGACTCCTTCTCAGCCTTGTGCTGTCGGCGCTCGTTTCGGCGCAGTTCTCTCCGGAATTCGGCCTTGTTGCGTCGCTGGTAGTCGAAGAAGGCGGCGTACGCTTTGGCGGCGAACGTTAGCAAACACAGCTCCCATCACACTAGCCCCTCGGTCCCTTTGCGGAATTGGTAAAGGGGAAAGATTGATGTTCAAGTGCGTAGAGGTGTTAAGGCAAACTCACCAACCAAGCCGGTAACGGCGGCGGCGACTGATGCCGTCACTATCGTGGAAGTCTGGGACATCTTTTTTCTGGAAATTGGGGAAGAGCGAACGAGGGTTGGCTTTCGGTCTACAGCAGTCGGAGCTAATGGCAACGATGAGAGCTGACGGGATTGGTGTTTAGGTTCACGATGTTGCGCTTTGGGGGTTGGGGGATGGTTGAAAGACCGGGGGGAGACAACGGGCGAGGATTCGTTGACGGAGTAAATATCGAAGGAAAGAAGCTCTATCGGGAATTGATGGAGCTTCCTCTACCAATTTTTTTAGTCTCTGCGCCATGGTTCCCAGGTCGCGTTCTCTTTGCCAAGCAGCCGCTGGGAGTGGGTCTCTGAGAGCACAGACCAGACACATTGAACATACAGACTGGTACGTACCTCGGTGAATTGACAGCTCAGCACCCCAGTGAGCACCCACCAAGAGGCCACTGCTGCCCAGTGCCTATCTTACCACCTTACCCACTAGAGGATGCCCTTAGGTGCGTGGGTGCCCGTCTTCCAGATTACGTAGAGGGATGAGTGCTGCGTGCCACAGAGACCTGGGACTCCACGTCCATCTTAATGTCTAACAAGCAGGGGTCTTGTCCTCTCAACGGCCACCACAGCACGGCAGCTTCCCACTCCGCGAACGACAGACGGTGCATGAAACAACATCAATCCGACCTGACCTGCGACTTCACCAAAGGGGCTTTGTCCTCGCCCTTTCTACCCACATACAATTGTCTCTCTATGCGCAATCATTGCTATTAGATACGTGCCCTCCAGCACGTAACACCAACTCAACCGCCCACCATGTCGGAGGATCGGGAGCGCAGCAAGATCTCGCTCCGAAGCGGAAAGAGAAAGGGCCGCCCGCAGATTAGTGCACCTCGCCAGATCTCAGAGCCCATTCTACAAGATGGATCGGGCCCTGTACGGCCTCCTGGCTCAAGGCCGATGGCCGATGCAGGCCCTCCGCCAGTCCAGCCTCGGCTTCGCCCGCCGCCACAAGCTGGAGGTGGAAAGGTAAGCATTCTCTCTCTTAGCAAGGGCTGGACAAAGAGTGAAGTCGGGGGCATTAGAAGCTGACGAGAGAATATGTAGACCTCGGACTTGGTCAAGCGGCGATACTCGACGCGGTTTAACACCCTGCCGAACGACTTCGACGTGAATAACCCGCCGGTACCGTCTATGCCATCCCTCGACAAGTACGAGTCCCGCCAGCGAAGAGCAGCACAGCCCCCTCCCAGCCGAGGAGGCACCGCGCCAGCACCCATTGTCGATATAAAGGCATTGCGAGATCCCGGATTGGTCCCAGACCAATGTGAGTTGTGGACTGTTTTGGTTCATGGCATATAACTAACACAGTTGTAGATGTTGCGACATTGCTTAGCGAAGCGGACGAAGACCAAATCCGCGAATTCGAGGATAACCTCCGCAGTCTTAAGGGCCGGGCCAATGCAGACTTGCAGCAGAATGTCATGCAGAACCGTACCCAGTTCATTAAGATCAGCAAGGAGGCCGAGAAGCTCAAGGGCGAGATGCGAGCGTTGAAGAACCTAATGACAGACCTCAAGGTGAATACAACAGCGCTTCGTCAGGCCTCGAACAACGGAAACAATGAGTCTTCAAGCCTTGGAGGCGAACTGTCGACAGGCTTGAGCAAGAGGGACAAGCGAAGCTCGGTGGCAGACCGAAGTGCCCTCTGGAACTCGCAGATGCAGGCCTTGTACAAGAATGTCGAGGGTTCCCAAAAGTTCCTGCCAAATTCTGCTCGACGCCACGTCATCCAGAATGCGGGAGCTTGGATTGAGCTGGACAACGCAACGTACAAGTCCCGACGAGCGATGCAGATATTTCTATTAAGCGACCATTTGCTCATTGCATCTCGCAAGAAGAGAAAGGCCGATGTCCCGCCTCGGGAGGCCCAGGGCCCCTTGGTGAAGCTAGTCGCCGATCGTTGCTGGCCACTGCTTGATATTGAAGTCGTTGATATGGCTGGATCGAGCGATAACTCGACGACGAGAAACAAACTAGCAGATGCCGTCATGGTCAGAGGTGTTGGCCAGGAATCTGTCATCTACCGAACCGAAAAGCCAGAGGATACGGAAAAGGACAGTCTGCTTCTCAACATCCGCAAGGCAGTGGAAGAGTTACGCAAAGAGCGACAGTCGGAACTGGAGGCCAACAACAAGGCCAAGGAGACGATCAACTACTTTGCGTCCCGTGACCCCGGCCTACTCCAGAAGACAGAGCTTTTGGAAACATTGTCTGACATCAAGGACATGCTCATCGACGTGGACGGAAAGCAGCAAAATCTACGATGGGTCGAAAGCCAGATGGACGAGCTCGACATTGACATTGCCTTGCAGAGCTTTGAGCCGGCAGTTGACCGCGTTGAGAAGCTGAAGAATCTCGCTCGAGGCCTGAAGAACAACGCGGTGGCGCAGGACTTCATCAGCTTCAAGGTCGAAGAAAGATGTGCCAAGTTAGCAGACATGATCATTCGCGAGCTCGAGACGACGCATACGGCGCCTACCAAGAACAAGCGCAACATTAGTTGGTTGGCCAGGCTCGGCTACGAAGACAGGGCTCGCGAGGCATATCTGGTCGCCAGACATGATATAATCACGAAGCGATCGAGGTGAGAATGATAATGCTACGCGTCCTTTTGAACTTGGCTAACCTCCTTCCAGACAATGCATCTTCCAGGGTGATTTGCACTTGTACATCTGGGAGCTCTCGTTTGTTTACTTCTCTCTGATCCGCAACACCGTGAGCTGCTTTCACTCATGCTTTCCCCCGCCGATGATGAGCGCCTGCGTCAAATGGGCCAAGGAGGAGGTGGAGACCTTCAATGGGATCCTCGCGCGGCAACTGAGTGGCACAGAGCGCGGCGGGAAGGTCTGGAACGAATGCATGGAGCGCGCTCATGAACATGCAAAGATGTTGAACGAGGTGCAGCTTGATTTCCGTACACTTGTTGGACGTGATTTGGAGCGACCGTCGGGCGTCACCAGCCCCGTTGGTCTCGGGCTGTCGTAATTGGCTTCGACCGAGTGTATCGAAGACCGACCCTGCGACGTTTACAAGAAGCATGCTAAAGACGACGTTGACGGGCCTAGGGTAATGGATGGTAATGGTAATGGGCAATGACTGGACGGGCTCAAGATTGCGGGTTGTGTTTGGTCCGCGGTCAAGTAAATGATACCGAGACATTGAAGACGAAGTGACGGAAGTGCCGCGGCCACTGGCATGTGCACAGGTATTTTGGGCCACTTGAGGCTTGTTTGGCCCCTGGCCTATTTACTTGCGACGACGTTTGTTACCTAAATAGGGAAATGAGTAGTTAATAGGACAAATGACCTATATCGAAATTTCGAGCGAGAGAATAACGAGGAGCAGCCGGTGGCAGTGGGATCAAGACAGCTAGAGAAAGCAGCGTTTCGTGAGATTCATCAATGACATGATGCTTGCTGTGTTCATTGTCTTGTGAAGATTGAGATCCATGGATGCTTTTGCCTGCCCAGGTATCCATACCTACCTAGGTACCTTCCTTACCTTCATGGCGGGGTTGATGCATCAAATGAGTACACGCAGAAGTGACGAGGCTTACGTTAGTGCAGTGTATCGGATTAAGCGAGTCTAAGCCAGGAGCTGTCACCCAATGGGAGGTATTTGTCTCCTGCCTCATGGTTCGGGTGTGTTTCTTGCCTGGGCCCAGGAAAGTCCCATCCAGTGGTGGTGGTGTATCTCTCAATCCCCCTCCTGTCTCCTGCCCCAGTCTGCTGGTCTTGCTGCAACCAGCAAGCACACCACGCCCGCCGCACCTGCACCTGCACCCAGCACTAGAGCACCACCTTCCACATCGCAAAAATCCCCAGTGCCCAACGTCGACATCTTCCCCCGTTCTCATCACAGCATCCAGAGAACATAATCCCTTCCAACCCCACCCAGCGCGAACGCTTCCAACGTTGTGTTTCTCTCCCTCGCCCAAAACACTCGATCGCGTCCTCCTTATCTGGCCTCAGACGAAGCTCTGACCGCCTTTGACGATTCGCCGCCAGCCCCACGCTAGGATTGAGGTGCTGTGCCAATCTGAATACCGCGACCGGCTGCTGAAAACAACGTCATCCTCAACCTAACTCGACGACCCCGACGACGCTGTCCCCTTCGCTCCTCACGCCCCTGCCTTCGTGCGATCGATTCATCTATCAACTTCCCAAGCATCTCAATCGATTAGACGACTTTCAGCATGGATACGAACATGGAGGACGTCGGCCGTGTCCCCGCCGATCTGCCATCCACCCAGAACCTTGAGCCCACCACGATCCCTACTCTAGACGGTTGGATCGAGAGCCTCATGAGCTGCAAGCAGCTCGTCGAGGCCGATGTCCAGAGGCTCTGCGAGAAGGTTAGTATTTCGTCCCCAGCGATGATGAAGGTTGCGATGCGCGTTTCCCACTAGCTGTCGTCATAGCTGCGGTTCGCCATTCGGTCTCCCCTCCCTTCATCTCGAATCACCCCTCTCGCGTGACCCCTAGGCACGCCTCGCTAACGTCCATCAACAGGCGCGGGAAGTCTTGCAGGACGAATCCAATGTGCAGCCAGTCGTATGTGTCCCTGGTCGCAGGGCAAGTGGTTTAAGCTGACACCCCTCATTCAGAAATGCCCGGTGACAGTGTGCGGTGATATCCACGGCCAATTTCACGATCTTATGGAGTTGTTCAAGATTGGCGGTCCGAACCCCGACACCAACTACCTGTTCATGGGTATGCTAACCATATCATTTTCTCGCACTCTCTTGGATAGACGCTTACCTTGATAGGTGACTACGTCGATCGTGGTTACTACTCCGTCGAGACCGTGACTCTCCTCGTCGCCCTCAAGATCCGATACCCTCAGCGCATCACCATCCTGCGTGGCAACCACGAGTCCCGCCAGATTACCCAGGTGTACGGCTTCTACGACGAGTGCCTCAGAAAATACGGCAACGCCAACGTCTGGAAGTACTTCACCGATCTCTTCGACTACCTCCCCCTTACCGCCCTTATCGACAACCAGATCTTCTGTTTGCACGGTGGTCTGTCTCCTAGTATCGACACCCTGGACAATATCAGAGCTCTCGACAGAATCCAGGAAGTGCCCCACGAGGGCCCAATGTGCGACCTCCTTTGGTCCGACCCGGATGACCGCTGCGGCTGGGGGATATCACCCCGTGGTGCCGGTTATACGTTCGGTCAGGACATCTCCGAGGCTTTCAACCACAATAACGGTCTGACGCTTATTGCGCGTGCTCATCAACTTGTGATGGAGGGCTACAACTGGTCTCAAGACAGAAATGTCGTGACAATTTTCTCTGGTGAGCTGAGCTCCTTGATGTGGTGGGCTGGAGAATCATGACTAACCGAGCCAGCACCCAACTACTGTTACAGATGCGGTAACCAAGCGGCGATCATGGAGATTGACGAACATCTCAAGTACACTTTGTAAGTGTCCACTTTCTACCAACAACCTGTTGACAAGCGTATACTAACCATGCGCAGCCTGCAATTCGACCCTTGCCCCAGAGCCGGCGAGCCGATGGTCTCGAGACGCACACCCGACTACTTCCTCTGATCAACCTATCCGATACCCTTGCCGTCCACTATCCAGATCAATCTGGATGTCATCCGTGGACGGGATTCGAAGAGATGGGGGCGTGCATGCTCAACTTGCATTGGTGTTTTAGGGGCGTCTAATCTTGTAAGATTACAACAAAAGCCAAGAGAACCAATGTACTCCCAAGAAAGAGAGATCCTGCGTTGAGCAACATGATATAGAGCGAGAGAGAAACAGAATGGCCCAGGACGTTCAACTGCGAGCGCGAGAGTCCCTTAGCATTAAGGTCCCTGGTGTATCCTGGACGCTTTCCTCTGTCATCACGTTAGATACTCATCATAGACCGCCGGCAACAAAGAAGGTGTCGATGTTAATGACAAGCTGATGTTCCAATTTCCGCTCTACACATTAACGTGTCACGCATTCGTTACGACAGAGTCGCGGGCTGATGCCTTCAAGGTAAGTTTTCAAACTACTATTGAATACACGATAAACGATCGCCTTGCGCCTATAGGTCCGTATCCAGAACCTCCCATATATGCATCGTCATCGTCATACATTATCCTTCCCAAGCCGTATGTCGAGCGTAATGTTGCGCCCTGGCCATGTAATTCCTCATCATCTCCTATGTCGCCTACGCCGACGTTCATGACTTCGTCTCCTCTCCTCACTCGTCTTCCTCCTCGTCGGTCGACCCCTTCGTACCTTCTTCTCGACAACGACACGCTCACGGAAGATCTCTCTCCTCCCTCCAACACCTAAACCTCCTATACCCACGTTGATCTCGTTGCTAATCTCCTCGGACCGACTACTTCCCAACGAACGCGTCCCGCCAAAGTAGCCGCTTCGGCTGTCTCCGGATCCCGTCAGGTAGCTGCTCCGGGTGTAGTCGGTGGCGAGGTAGCCGCTGGGGGTGAAATACTCTGTGCGAGAAGAGGCTCCTCGTCTGCACTCCGTCGTGGTCCGTTTGGAGAAGGAGGCGGCGATGAGGCCGTGGCCGTGGCCGTGGCGGCCGCTGCGACCACCGCGGAACCTCTCGCGGACGGTGAGGGTGCTGACGCGTTTGTAGGCGTGCTGGCCCTTTGCGTAGTGGCCCGGTTTGCAGGCGCCGTCGGGGACGTGGAAGCGGAGGTCGAAGCGGAAGAGGGCGTAGAGGAAGATGACGACGAGCTCGAGGTCGTAGTTGAAGATGTAGTAGCAGGCCTTGTGATGCCACCAGCCGGGGAAGAGGACGGGGCGAACGGCGTAGTTTACGGCGCAGCGGTAGGCGGCGCCGATGGTCATGAGTGTTGCGGCGGTGAGGACGAGGATGATTTTTGTGGTAAGGGAGCCGTAGCCGAAGGGTTCGGGGCGGCGGAGGCCGGGGTAGAAGGCAGCGAAGAGGAGGATGGGGATGGGGAGGAAGGCGATGAGGGCGAGGGTTGTGGAGGTGAAGAGCTGGACGATGCGGCAGTCGTGGAGGCTTACCGGGTCGAGGGTGTAGAAGCTGGCGACGAGGGCGGTGATGGCGCAGACGAGGCAGACAAAGATGAGGAAGTAGGTGAAGAGGAAGAAAGCGTTGACGGCGGGCAGCCAGCCGATGTTGGGGTGGAGGCCGCGGAGGAGGCGGTGGGTGAAGAGGAGGTTGAGGATGAAGAGGAGGACGACGCCGGCGGCGGCGAAGACGCCGGCTGCGATGTTGAGGGAGACGTTCCAGGGCTGGGTGGCCCAGGCGATGCGGAGGGAGAGGGCGATGATGCGGGTGAGGGAGAAGCCGACGAGGACGCCCGAGGGGAGGAACTTGTGGCCCCGGCCCAAGTTGCGGGCCAAGATTGCGCCGTTGAGGAGGGCGGCCGCGAAGAAGAAGATGATGAGGATGATGCAGATTGGGACGTCTACCCTCACGTCTGGGATGAGGCCCAGGGCGGCCACTTGTGGGGGGTAAGGAGGCCCATAGAGAGGGAGCTGGTAAGGCGGAAGGAGCTCACGATGTTAGCTATGAGGTCTTCTTTTCTCGAAAGCCGGTCAGGAGGGAGGGAGGGAGATAGGGGGGGCTGACGAACTGGGGCCCCAATGGGTATAATTGCCGCCATTCTGACGAGTGTCTGTCAGGAGTAGTAGCTATCCACAGGCTTGAAGCTGCTGGCAAGCCAAGCAGCACCTGCAAAACAGCTACAACCCGGGAGGAGGAGGAGGAGGCTGAACGAGCTGAAGAGTTGAACGCTTGGCAGCCAGTGCTCATGCTCATGCTGGTGCTACGAGAGGAGGGGATCTCGACCAAAACGAAAAAAACCCACCCCGAATGGAAGTGAAAAGAGAGGAAAGGATCCTCTCTTCCCTTCATTGCGTACGATAGTTTCTTGGAAGAGACCGGGGTAAGAGTAATTCTTTATCATTATGTTGTCGCGCGGAAACATATGTTCGTCTGAGCTTCGATGCGTTCTTGCTTAGCGTCGGCGAAGGGTGCGTTGGTCTATGTGAGCTACTCGGCACGGACTTGGGGAAGAGGAGAGCGAAGGACGAGGCAAAAGGTAAAGGCGGATGCGGGTTTCAGCCTGTGGCAAGAGCTGAGAAGAGCTGAGAGCGAGAGAAGAGAGGCGAATGGTCGGATTGGCTCTCGCTGATAAGTTTGTGCGGTCTTTTGCGGTGTTCTCGAAGAATGGGTGAGGGTGATGAGTGGTGGGAGTTCGTCTCATAGATAGAATGGCGTTGTGAAGAAACGAGATGACAGTATATTGCCTCCCATACCCCATATCCTCCTCCTCGTCTGTATCAGTCGGCCTCTCCAAAACATTACTCTTCTATCATGCCTGAAGTCGTGGGATAGACCCGATAAGCGAACAGCGAGCCCAAGAAGCAGAGCTTTGCCTCTCGAGATCGCGTCCACTCCATGCTTGCGGCGGCACGCGGCACGCTACATGTGAGATCTCTGCAGGCTCGGATCCTCGAGTACAGAGAAAGGTCGCGCACAAGTCGGAAACTTGCGAGACGCCTCAGCCCCAGTCGAACGAACTACTGCAAGTCTGTAAGTATTGACCCCATCTCATCGTCGGCAACTGTAGATCGGGGAAAGAGGAAGGGGGTATGTCATTGCACAGTAAGGCTGTGGTGCAGAAACATGTTTCCCATCGATCCCTTGCCGGTCTACCTGGGACAGTCAACGTCGGTAGTCCGCATCCCTCTTGGACGTGCGCCGCCGTTAGTCCCGCGGTGAGCGATGTCGATGGCTGGGGAGCCACGCTCACGGACCTTGGAAACGAAGGACCGGTGCTGACCGGGCTCCTCAATTGTCGGAAATAACGGCTCATGGATTTTGCTTTATGATCTATGTCGAACCCAGAGATTCCGTATAGTCATTTGCTGGAAAATTGAGCAAAAAGTAAGCCTGGTTGGCACGGAGGCTTATGTATGCCAATCCTATAGACAGTGTCGCTTCTAGTCGACCGTAAGACTCCCTCTCAGAGAGAAAGAATAAAATGAATGGGCTTGTTGTTGTCGATTGGTATCGTCAAGCTCTGTACCGAGGTTCGTTCAAGCGTGTTTAAGCCACGGAATGGCGCCTATGGCAAGGACATCGATGCCGAAGTAAACGTTCATGTGGCTGGCTCCTGAGAAGGTCTGGCGATGCTGGAGAAGGATTGTGTGCTTGACAGTCATCGAAACTCACTTGCAACCCGATATTATAACCTCGTCGAGTCAACCGGCCAGACACTCAAGCACTTTCGTCCAAGACTCGCGGTTGTTGAGCTTCCAAAGGCCAGTATGGCACAATTGATCCTCAAACTCCCAAGTTGCGTGAAACTGGCCACTTGGACTTTCGACATTGTGCGCAAGTATCAACGAGTTCTCTCCATTAGGGTTTGTGCTGAAGAGTCCGGTAGCTTAGAAGAGGACTCGAAGCTGGTGCAGGTGATACGTATTATTTGATGTTCAACACGGCTGTGAAGCTTGGTAAGATTGCTTGGGAAGATCGTCATGGCAAATTACTCGTATCGACAATAAACGGAAAGAACATGCGTCCAACACTGTGAAAGCTTCTTCAAAATACGGAAAGGCTTGGAGCAGGCGTCCTATTTGGAGAACGCAAACCCACGTGAAGAATCTCCCGACAGCGGGAGCGGCTGGCCGCGTGGTGAACAAACGGCCGAAATATTGGTTAAGGCCTAACGGGTACTGAATTCCGCAAAAGAGCCGTTTTGAAACATGACAATGATCGGCATTGTTATCGGATTCGAGTGTTGGTCTTTTCGCACATCCTCTGTGCCTCTGTATCCGTCCTCGAAGTCTCGAGCAAAGGATACTGAGCTGCTGACTGGCGGCCAGGTTGAGATATGATGGGGTTCGAATGGAGGCGAGCTGTCATTGGACAGATCGTCCAAACGGCGCGTTCATCCTTGGGAATAATCCGACGAAGTGGCTAGGCCTTGTCCGTGCCACGCAAGGTAGAGCCAGCGCTGGGACCATCTTTCATTTCGCAAACGCTGCTATCGCCAGTAGCCGACGTGGTTTCTGGGTCAGGGAGCGTTGGAGTTGCGCTGTCCTTCCTTCCTCCACTGTATTCGCAATCCTTGTTGTAATCCTGAAGCATGGTGAGCCTCACCAATCAGAGCATAGCGTTGCTGGGGTTGAGACATGCACGAAGTCGTCGTAATTTCGCCTATTGCTCCGCCTTGTCAACCGCCTTGGTTGCCCCTCGAGTCCATTCGGCAGTTTGTGGATGTTTCTTCGCTGAATGGATACCATGTTTATGCTCACTTGGCTTATTGAGCTCTGTTTTTGGGCTGACGATGATGGAAGTCCGTAGTTTGACAGTTCGTGTCATCGGCTTGTTGGAACTCGGATGTCAATGGCTACAAGTTCATGGCTGCACTCTGCAGAAGCAACCAGTATATCGCACCGCGCCATTGCGACAGAAGCGGCGCTGCTGCAGTGTGACTCTGCGGACACATGTACCTGCACAAGCTTGGTGGTGAGAGAACCACACCGACGCCCAGTTGCCATGCATACGGAACCATAGTCTCGCTGTGCAGGTTGTTGCCCGTCTCTCAATCGATCGTTATTTGGTGTATGCAGTTGTCCACCTTGCCGATTTCGGTCGTCCTGCACCAGCCAGCATGCGAGCTGTCGCCCACAACCGTCTTGTGAACCGTGTTCGGACGGGGAGGGTGCCGGCCGTACCCCAGAAAATGCATCAACATCACTACAGATGAATGAGGGGAAACGACTTGGACGGCGAGTATCCGTATCCGTACTCCGTACTGACTGTGATGTGTCTCGACTATCGAAGAAGCTGAGGAAGTGAGTGTGTAGGACGAAGTGGGTTGAAACACGAGACGATAGCCGTGAGACAGTCTGCCAACAAGCGTGTATCGGCACATGGTATCTCGAGACATGGCTCTCCCTTGCCAACGCTGCCACGAGTGTTTGCAATTGATGAGTTTCTTCGGTCTTGTTGTTGGCATGCTGAGTGATTTTTGGTACAGGTTCTCGTCACAGCCATTGTCGAAGATGGGATGGCAGTGAGTGACACGAACGGGCCAGCCATCATGATGAAGCTTCGACAAGGAAGACCGTGTGGTGTGAAGATTGATCAACGACGAGGAGGACATGTTACCGACGGCTGATTTCCCGCCATTGCCGCACTGGCCTGGCAAAGCCGGGGGAAGAGGGATGGCCCCTCCATAAGAGAAGCATTCAGCCATGTTCCCAGTCTTCCTCGTCATGCTTCAGTTGGTGTTTGTTTTTGTTGCCCGCATTGCCAGCACATTGGCGTCGTGACGCTGTGGACACGACGTAAACGTGAGCAGTGGAGGGTTGAAAATAGAAACGGATGGTAGGATGGCTTGGTACCCTAAGGCAGAGACTGAAGTTTAGGAAATGAGAACGAGGTCGAAAGAAACGGTAGGTGACCAACCGTCTTCCCGTCTCTCCAGATGTATCCGTAGAATCTACCGGCGTCGTGGCGCTTGGATTCCAAGTACTCGGGACGGGACATTGTTAGGAAAAGTTCCGAGCAGATGTTGATGAAAACAACGCTGACAGCCTTGCAGGTTAAATCAACCGTAACGAGCCGAAACACGGGCCTTGTCTATGCCCATGAAAGGGGGGAGTTTCTGCTGGTTGTCACGGCCCACGGCTGCGATGAAGGGGCTTATTGTGGTTTATGCAAATGGGATGTCCGTACCGACGGAGGGGACGGATTCGAATGGGGAGAAAACGGAGTAGAAACCAACGATAAGAGAGAAAATTGGACCTGGCGCTGGGGAAGGAAGCATGCAGGACCAGGAGTGAATTGGCACAAATGGGAAGAGTGTTGGCAGTTTGATCCATGGCCGACGAGGGAAGACCCTGAGACACCCCTGTCAGCTTGTAGTTGTTCCCCTGCTCCACCAATTTTGAATGATCAAGGCGCCTTGCCTGTTTCTGACATTTCCGGTGGCCGTTGCTTCCTCAAGTTCTCGTGAGAGCAGGGGTAGCTGGTACGTTGCCAGGTACGAAGGCGGCAGTACGTACCGTTTGTTCCTACCGTCAACTTTCTTTACCTTCCCGGTCGTGACTTGCAAGTATTCCATACCTTAGTTTCTGAGCGGTTGCCCATGCAGACGTGGACCATTGGTAGCGCAGCCACTCATATCGTCCACAGCTGGCGGGTGTCTGGTAGTCTCTCCTTCTCATTGGAGACAATGTCGCGCGGATGGCTTTCCTGCAGATGGTGGTGGCCGTGAGGTGGGCAACTTCTTTTTTGGCTGGTGCGCTCTTTCCTTTTCTCTCTCTGAGTGACTTTAGACTGAGTTTCTCCTCAAGGCTCAAGGACGGTAAGGACTAAGGACCCAAAGAAGGCAGGGCCCCAGCCTCCTTACATTCATGTCCCATGTCCCATGTTCATATGGCCCCAGTCCGCGTCCAGAAAGAACTTCTATCCTTACCAGAGAAGGAAGTCCACACCTCCAAACCTCTTAGTTGCACCTTCCCGCCGCGTGCCGTCGCCATTCAGGCCTGGTTCATGGTCCACCGCCCAGGTCCCGGCCCAGGGTCAACCTGAGGGAAGGAAGCGTGGGAAGGTACCTTCCACCCTACCTCTGATAATCGGCTGTGCCCATGTGCCCATTCCATGGCCTCTCGCGTTGCTCGCTGCCTCCCAAATTTTCCTTATTTTCCCGAAGGTCCTCCCGTACCTGCCGCCGATTGCTCCTCCTGCCTCCCTTCCCTTTCCCTCCCGCGCGTGAGTGTGTGTTTGTGTGGTTGCGAGCTTCGTCCCGCCCCTAAACAACATCATCGCCTTTCCCTTCTCTCGCCTCGACGAGCCCGACCGTGACACGTCGAATTTCCTTACAAATCTCGGATCTTGACTGTATCCTCCTAATTGTATTCCTACCCGAATATCGCCAATCAGCCTTTGTGCGCCTTCACTTACTTACTCTCGTTCAGCCTCTTATCTCTCGCAACCTACCGACCTAGTGGTGCAGTTCTCCGAGTATCTATTTCTAAATCTCTTGGTCAAACTGCCGTCAACCTCCTTCCTGCGACAAAATCTCATCCGCATTCCATGTCAATACGTTAATCGCAACCCAACTACTCGAGCATCCGACACCCTCTCACCTTCCTCGGTCCCCGCTTGACGCTATTTCCTCAATTGACTTCAATTGGCCAACCACCTACCCTCCGTTTCGCCTATTTTCCCGACGACGACGACGACAACAACAACAACAACAACAACAACAGCTCCGTAAACACCATTCGGCCTTTACGGAACCAATTGAAAGCCAACCCGAATCCTTTTTGGTTACGACTATTACTCGCCAAGCATCTCTCAGAGCCACAAGCACTCTTTACTTTAGTCGTCAAACATCCGCGACGATCTCCCGTCCGGCCTGTCGCGGAATTCCTTCGGGACGATCATCTGTGACCTCTCGGAAAGATAGTCATGAACTGGATTCTTTTTTGATCAACAACTTCAAACCGAGCCTTCCAAGCTGGTGGCCACGATTTACACGGCGACAAACTGAACCATCGGCAAAGGAACGCCTACAGGTAGAGGACGAGTGATGGGTCAAATATCGAGAGCAGCACTCTCGTCAGTGCTGTACTCGGCCGTGGTCTCGGCGCAGTCAGGCTGTATATCTCTGCAGGGATCGACGACATGTTCTGCTTTCCAATCAGCATCTGTTTCGACCACAGGTTTTGTGGCGGGGATTTTGTACGTTTTGTGCAATCACCACTCATTACGACCTCATACTGACCATCCTCGATAGCCCCTTCCTTCAGTATGTGTCCAGCAGGGAAACATTTGATCAGCAGATGTCGTCTTATCTTGAGACAACATACGTGCGGGAGAAGTAAGCTCATCCGTCGTCGATTTCGTAAAGGCCTGGGCTCATACGTAATCAGGTATCAAACATTACTTGGCTGTAGCAATGTCAATCTCACCAACCCGGACGAGCTATACGCACGCTTCACAGCTACAGTTGTCTGCAACTCAATTGTGCAGAATTCGATCGACGCATGCAACTTGACTGCATCGAATTCACGACCCGTGTGCGCCGACACTTGTGTAAGTGACCTGTGGAATTGCTAGCAATTTACAACGGCTGCTAACGTGAATCAAAGGCCGAATTCGCACAGAGCGAGGCCCTGCTCACCTCAGACAGCAGTCTATGTGGCAATCCGGGCAGCAATCTCATGAATCAAATCCGAGCAGACTTCACCAACTGCGCACTGCCTGCCGGTTCCCTGTCATCATCCAACTGCATTCAAGGCGTTGCCAATGAAAAGGAGAACTGCGGATACGGCAACAGCACCGTGGGATTGTGCTCCTACTGCGCATCTGGTGGTATTAACTCTACTGACACATGCTGCTACAACTCGAACATCGACCAGCGTTGCGCCGGAGTTACGCTTCCCTCCATTTTCCCTACCATGACCTTCGCACCCCCAACGGCGACGGCGACCCCGACCCCGTCAAATACGGCAGCTGCATCCAAAGGGCTATCCGGTGGTGCCATTGCCGGTATCGTTATCGGCAGCGTGGTCGGCGCCCTGTTGATTGCCGGACTTATCTTCGCATGCATCTTGCTCGCCAGAAGAAGACGACGCGGAAGCCAGAAGGGCAGTGTGTTCAACCAACCGTCACCCTCTAGGCAAGGACCGTCTACGGTTAAGATAGCACCGGCCCAGACCACGAGCGGTTACGAAGTTTTGCCCGGTGGCCGAATCGCCCGAATGTCAGCTTTGGAGAGCGCATCAGACCCGGCTCCCGTTCCGCCCAGTCGCAACAGCGGCCCCCTCATGGCAGCCGCCGCTGGAGGCGCAGCAGGATATATGACGGGTAGGAGGAGAGGTGATGACCCGTCCTCGTCCGAATTTGGAGACAGTCCCGAGTCGGAACCCAGAGCTGGTGTTCTACGACCCCCTCCCACTAACATCCGGAGGACGGGCTCTCTATCCAGTAGCTCAGTTCTCGCCGATCCGCAATCGCCAACGAGTGCCGGAATGTCGTCTCCGCAAGGCATGGCCAGCCAGCAATCTGAGCAGCTGCCGTTCTTCAAGGATTACTACTCTCAAGACGATATCCACCCTGGTGATAGAGTCGCTACACTCTGGGCCTACCAACCCCGCGCCCCCGATGAATTTACTCTCGAGCGCGGCGACATGCTCAAGATTGTGGGTATCTGGGATGACGGCTGGGCAACGGGTATTCTGATGGATGAGCGGGCCGACGAATGGGAAGCTCGACGACAGGCCCAACGAGACAGCGGTGTATCCAACACCTCTGGGCGACACCAAGACAACTCGCCGCCCGTTAGCGGCGAGATCAAGGCCTTCCCCCTCGTTTGCGTCTGTTTGCCAGAACACTGGAGGAAAACAATTGAGGGAGATGTCTCGACCGAAGGTTCCAGCGCTCACCAAGGACACTCATCTTTTTCATGAAAAAGCAAAACCAACTTATTGAGTTTTGCATACACCTAAACGAAAATAGTTGTCTTTCCAGCATGGGCTTACGGCGTTGAGGCATCGAGCTAGCATTGACTTTGGCCTCACAGAGAGGTCGGAATTTCCCTTGGGCGACATTGACCAGCGACTCTTAATGAAACGTGTTTGACGTTTCCACCGGCCGCAGTTCACTCGACTCCCTTGGCTTTCTGCACATAGAGACGAAATAACTACATTTCTGCGACGACCCGCCTAATGTCATCAATCCTAGACGAACGAACGAAATTTTCTTCTTCAACGTGGCATCGCTTCGAATCATGATGGCCACTCGGAGGCTTCACAGACCAACACCAGTACTCGATGCGAGTGGCTCTGACGAGACAACGATACGCGATCCTAATTTTATGACGAACACGCATGCAATGCGCCTTCCCCTTTCATTTCGAACAGTCGACTTATATACCCATGGTGCGGTGACGAGGTACTGATGTTTGTGGAGTAGTAAGAGGTCGGGGAGGGCCTATGCGACATACCTAATGGCGGACCTCTTGAGCAAAAGAACTGAGCCTACGGCTGCCAATATGTCTGTTTTGTCGTCCTTGGTGCCGTCTGGTCACCACATTGACAAGTCAACAATCGTTGGTTGACTAGGCGAATGCGAGGACAACAATAACAACAGAGCTTGGGCAGGTGGGTTCTGAGGAGGTGAATGAGATTTCGTCTTAATCATCGGCCGTTGTGGCGCGAAACCTATCCTGCTACACTTGGCATGGCGATATTACTTTGGCTTCCTCCTGTAACCTACTGGATAGCCGCTCAATTTACTTAGCTCAAATACCAAAGAGAGTTCTCTCACACTGATGATGCTTCTCGCTATAACTGACGATTGCCAGGCAGATGTGATAGTGTAGTAGTTGTGCCGCTGATGCTACCCTGAATGGTTTCATCCGCATCGGGGGCTGAAACTCTTGAGGTCACGCGCGCATAAGCAGCTTCTTTCAGCTTGTGCTCCATCGGGAGAGTCCCTGAACCAGGGAGAATAAGATCGCGAATTAAGAAGCGCAGGATATGCTGACACAACGAGGGGGTGTTTGTGAAGGTGGAATTTGGTGGTGAGGCTAGGGCTGGAAAGAAAGTTTGGGATGAGACTTTTAGAACCTAGATCTTGACACTGATGACATGGGGCATCGTAGGTATGGCGTAGCTCTTCAGACGAACTGTATCTATAGAGTCATCCACTTTCGATGGACAGGCATGACTCTTTACTTTCTTACCTGTGTTCGCTTCGCTTCGGATTGCGTAGTTTGGGGGATCATGAAAGGGAATTTGGGATTGCGGGAGGAAAAGAAAGGTGGAAGGAGTGGGTTTGCTGCTAAGCAAGAAGCTTGTCGTGTTTGAAAGGGTTCCGTTCTGGAATAATACCGGCGGGCTATTCTTTCCAATATCAAGGTGGTTCCTCCGAAGAGTGAGGGAGGGCTTTGTTCTAAACTTCTGAGACCTTCATTTTTCTTCTTATCTTGTACGAATGGAAGTATCCGTAGGTTGTCTTTTCGCTGGCGATGTGGAACGCCGAGACGGCCGGGTTACCTCCCGGTGAAGGCGGTGGCCCTTCACCTTCCATGTTCTTACTACTACGGAGTACTCCTCACGGCGTCAAGGTGGGGGTTTGGAGGGGTTGATTTCTATAGCTCCCATACGGTAAGGTATGAGGTATGAGGAGGTTTCCGCTTCGGGGAGATCTTGACATGTGCCATCTCGCAACTTGGCGATCGTCGGGCGTTCTTGTCGCGTGATGATTCGCTAGGAAACTGCCGGGTATACAAGTAGCTCATGTTTTGCGTGTGTCTCTCTCGCTTTCTTGGTTGTAGCTGGTTTCCGACTGATGTTACGGTACGTGAGCTGTGTGTAACCCACCTTTCTGGAGCATTAGCTACTGGGATTCTGGAGAACATTACTCCTGCTTGGACTTGGGTTGTACTATACGGTTACGGTGCTCAAAAGAGAGCGTATACATAGGTTGCGAGGTTCAGATGTCAGTACGCGAAACGGTTCTCTAATGGGTTGAACAATGGCACCGTGGGGACGCTTGGGGGAAAGCACACCAGCCTTGAGAGCTTCTGCAGGTTGCATAAATAATGATCAACCTGCTGCCTAAATCCTCGTTGATTCGTCCATGAACGCGGACAGAACTAGGTGTCAAATGTGCTTGAATGAGAGTTTGCAGATCACGCTTTGTAAGCTGTTGTCCATCTTCGCATTTCTGTGAATACCTCAGGTAGCTAGCTATTGCACCAAGCTACTGGTGAGCTCAACCAACCTGACAGGGGTGGAAGGCACGGGCCAGATTTACGGGTACGCGGTGCGGAGGTTAAGGATGGCGGGACGCCGATGTACCACGTCAGGTAAGGTACTGATTGCTTAAGTGGACAGCCTGCGTCCTGCCCGTGGCAGGTACCTTGCTTGATCTGGGGGACGGTGACCTAACTGCACTCGTGATTGCATCACTGCTACAAGGCATCTTTACTAACAACCTCCAATCTTCACGAAACCCCAAGAACTCTGCCACAGATAGAGTCCCGTCTCTTGGTACAACTAGGTCAAATGACTGCTTCTCGCGACTTGGCTTCCTCAACATGACCGCTCCCCACCACGTCGACCAAGTATTCCCATAGCTTCCTGAGCAGTTGAGCTATCGCCGCCCGCCATGGGCCAAGGCTTCTCTCTGGCGACGCCCTCCGCGGGCTCTGCGGGCATCGACATACCCGAGCTCTCTGACCTCGTGTACGAGAAGAGCATCGGAAATGCGCGCTTCATGAAAAGCATACGTGCGAGGCATCACGATGGAGTCGCTCTTGTCAAGGTCCTGGTCAAGCCGTACACCCCGATGCCTCTGGGGAAGTACAAACGCGACATAGAGAGTGAGCCAGCCTCTGACACGTTGTCCGAAATCGCTGAACATATGACTGACTCTCCCAAGAACAACGTAGCGGCCTGGCCGATGTGCCCAATGCGCTGGGCTTCCACCGCATCGTCGAGACCGAAACGAATGGCTACCTAGTCCGACAGTTCCTCTACAACTCCCTCTACGATCGCATGAGCACCCGTCCGTTCCTGGAGGATATCGAGAAGAAATGGCTGGCTTTTCAGCTGCTGTGCGCCCTGCGCGACTGCCATGCTCGAGACATTTACCACGGCGACATCAAGACGGAGAACACGCTGGTGACATCTTGGAACTGGTTATACCTCTCCGACTTTTCTGCTCCGTTTAAGCCCATCCTGCTGCCCGACGACAATCCAGGCGACTTCTCATACTACTTCGACACATCCGGACGACGAACATGTTACGTGGCGCCCGAACGCTTCGTCGCGGCGGAAGAGGTCAACAGCAAAGACGCGAAGCTTACGTGGGCTATGGATGTCTTCAGCGCCGGCTGCGTCATTGCCGAGATGTTCTTGGAGTCGCCCATTTTCACACTCAGCTCATTGTACAAGTTCCGCAAGGGCGAGTACGACCCAGTCATTTCGCAAATCAGTCGCATCCCGGACAAGGACTTGCGGGATATGATATCGCACATGATTCAGCTTGACCCCGAACGTCGGTATTCCGCAGAGCAGTATTTGGATTTTTGGAAGAAGAAGGTCTTTCCCGAGTACTTCTACAACTTCCTTCACCAGTACATGGAGTTGATTACGGATCCTTCATCTGGGAATAGTCCTATATCTGGTGCAACGAGAAACCTGGGAGAGGCGGATGACCGTATCGATCGCGTATTCCTCGACTTTGATAAGATATCATACTTCCTTGGTTATCCAAACGACAAACGCCCGATGCAAGTCGAACCTCTGGCCGGAAAGCTGGGGCTGGGGCACTTTCCCATTCGCCTCAACATACCAAACCATGAACAGTACATCACTGGGACATCCGACCCGCCTGAAGACGACGGGACTTTGATCTTCCTCACACTGATTGTCTCATCCCTCCGTAATACGGCTAGGGCGGCGTCAAAGATCAGAGCCTGTGACGTTCTGCTAGCCTTCTCTGAGAGGATCACGGACGAAGCAAAGCTAGACCGCGTGTTGCCATACCTCATAACGCTTCTTAATGATAAGTCGGAACTTGTGGTCATTGCTGCGCTCCGGTCAATAGCGCAGTTGTTACACCTAGTCCGAGTGGTGTCTCCTGTCAACTCGCACATCTTTGTCGAGTACATCTTACCTCGACTGCAAAGTGCCTTGATTGCACCATCGAAACCGGCCAGCCCGTTGGTGCGAGCGACTTATGCATCTTGTATCGGAAGCCTTGCAACCACAGCTGCCCATTATTTGGAATTAGCGGCAACCCTCAAGTCGGACGGGACCCTAACAGTGGCTGACCCTGAGCTCGAACCAGGGATTGAAGCCGAGGCTGCCTTTGATGGACTATTCGACGACGCACAACGTGAGCTCTACGAGATGTTCGAGCTTCATACGAAGGCACTTGTGGAGGACTCAGACGTTTCTGTTCGCAGGGCGTTCTTGACTTCTGTGCCCGATCTGTGCCTCTTCTTTGGTCCTGCAGAGGCAAACGATATTCTTCTAACCCATTTAAACACCTACCTAAACGACCGAGACTGGATGCTAAAGTGTGCCTTCTTCGAGACCGTCGTCAGCATAGCCAGTGTGGTGGGAAGCGTCAGCCTCGAGGAGTTCATGCTGCCACTTATGGTGCAGGCCTTTACTGATCCAGAGGAGTTTGTGGTACAAGCAGCTCTGCATTCTTTGGCACAACTGGCGCGGCTCGGGTTACTGTCCAAAACCAAAATTTGGGAGCTGATAGACGTTGTTGCACGATTCACCATGCACCCCAACCAGTGGATCCGAGAATCTGCGACAGAGTTCTTGTCTGAGACGACTCGTTTCTTGTCTCCAGCAGACGTTAGGTGCATCGTATATCCTCTGGTCAAGCAGTACCTCAAGACCGGCATGGTTCCTGCGTTTTCTGAGCTCAGTTTATTGGACGCTTTGAAGCGGCCAATGTCGAGACCCGTATTTGATCAGGCCCTAGTTTGGGCTCTCAAGACCGACAAGGGCGTCTTCTGGAAACTGACGCAGCAGCTCAGGTCATTTTCGTTTGGATCGCTCCCCAAGACTATCAGCAGTCGGTCGTCTAAGGATACACTGAGCAAAGTCTCGCGGAACGATGAAGACGAGTTATGGCTTGGACGTCTCCGGAACCTTGGCCTCGGGCCGGACGACGAGTTCAAACTCCTCGTGCTACGAGAGTTTATATGGCGAATCAGCAAAATGAAATCACGGGATGGCATGGACGGCGAACCGGCCAAGCTCAATGAGGTGATCTCCCTCAAGAGCCTGGGCATCACTCCGCAGACGGTATTCTTTGACGAGGAGCCTCTGCAGCAGTCTACATTTACACCCGAGTCAAACCAAAAGGGGCCGTACACCATTGCCGATGCTCTTCTGGATGCCTCCATGACAATCGATGACTCGACTGGAAGGAGACGGTTTGCAGCTCTCAATAGTCTCCGTACTCGCGTCGTAGAAGACCAGGGGTCTACTTCGCGTGATGTTTCTCGTGTAAGAGAGATCGATCCTGCGAGACGCGCATCGACTGGACAGGGAAAGCTCACGGTTGGGAGCCCGACTGACGATGGGGCCTCCATCCACGACCAGCCTTACGCAACTCGGAGGGCCATCCGCCACCAAGCCAGCGCCCTCAGCCTCCTGGACCGTAAAGACAGCAACAAGAGCGTCCCTGAGACTGGCATGTCGGGAGCAAATGCTGTTGGCCAAGTGGAGGGCCCGTTTGCCCCGGCTCCTCTTGCTCGGCCAAATATACAGGATCGTCGAACCAGTACAACAAGTGTAGTGGCTAAACTCAGGCCCAACCACTCCTACGAGGGAACCGACCCCAGCATTCTCAAAATGCTCGACTCAATGTACCAGGACAACTATCCTCACGATATCGCCGAGTTCGGACCGATGGTGACCCCTATCACACGTCGAAAAACAAATCGCTTAGTTGGACAGCCAGGCGATGAGCCGTGGCGCCCACATGGACGGATGGTTGCCACCTTTGCTGAACATACCGGCTCAATCAACCGTCTGGTGGTGTCTCCAGACCATGTGTTCTTCATCACAGGAGGCGATGATGGCTCCGTCAGAGTCTGGGACAGTGCCCGCCTCGAGAAGAATATCACACACCGATCCAGACAAACCCACAAGCACGCCGATGGGGCCAGGGTGCTTGCGCTGTGCTTCATTGAGAGCACACACTGCTTCATCAGCTGCGCCAGCGACGGAAGCGTGCACATCGTCAAGGTAGAAACTGTTTCGGCAAGCGGCACGCTGCGGTACGGAAAACTTCGCCTTCTGCGGGAGTATCAGCTGCCAGAGGAAGAGTATGCAGTGTGGTGTGAGCACTTCAAAGTGGAATCCACCTCAGTGATGCTCCTCGCGACGAATCGCTCCAGAATCCTCGGCATCGATCTCCGGACCATGTCACTGCTGTACACGCTGGAGAACCCTGTCCACCATGGGACACCTACGTGTTTCTGTGTCGATCGTAAGAGAAACTGGCTATGCGTGGGAACAACGCACGGAGTCATAGATCTTTGGGACCTGAGGTTCCGAATGAGACTCAAGGGCTGGGGCGTTCCAGGCAAGAGCTCCATCTACAGGCTATGCATACACCCAAGCAAGGGCAGAGGCAAATGGGTCTGCGTTGGTGGTGGAACGGGTCAGGGCGAAGTCACCGTCTGGGACCTAGAACGCACTATTTGCAGAGAAATCTACCGCGTTGGAGGCAACAAGGAGGGCCCTAAGGGGTACGAGGCTTGGGAGGTGGACGAGGACAAGCCTGAAGGTATGCTTGGGCGATTTGCTACCAACATTGAGCCAAGCGGGACCGGAAACACAGACCGAGGTGTGCGTGCGATGGTAGCAGGCACGGGCGCTTCGGAGGACTCACGCGACGTACGGCATGCATTCATCGTCACCGCGGGATCGGACAAGAAGTTACGATTCTGGGACCTGTCTCGCATAGAAAGCTCCGTGGTCTACAGCGGGCTGCAAGGGGAGGACCCGAAGCCGACGTTTACGGCCTCGCACCCGACGACGACCATGACGCTGAACACGGAGAGGATCCCGCGACAAGCACCGACGGCGCCGAATGCGGCAGTCAGCGGGAAGAGCGCGGGTGCTGGTGGACGACCGCCGCGCTCGACTGTAATTTCGCTTCAGCAGCAGCAGCTCCTGCGGACTCACCTGGACTCGATTATGGATGTTGCACTGCTTGAACTTCCGTATAGCATGACGCTGTCGGTTGACCGGTCTGGCGTGGTGTTTGTGTTTTCATAGCGGATTGCTTCTTGGGCGTTTGGTCGAGGGTTCTTCGAACATAGATACCTAGTGAATAAATTTACAAGATTTAGAGAAAATTAGAAGGAAGATTTCGAGTTTGTGAAAGGCTACCTGAGAGTGTTACAACATTCGCCACATTATCGTTATATAGCCAACACAATTTCACATGGATTCAACTGAGTATTTTTTTTTTACTGAGATGGTGTTGTAAGTCATGGAAGACACAGTGCGTAGTTAATCGAACTACACGAGCTGAGCGTATTCGCAGCGAGGAGTGGGCCGTGCCGATGTGAGAATGCACCGTACGCAATCGTGGGGATGGCAGCTCTAATCAGGCGGGGAATTTTGGCCGCCTTGTTCGACCTCCAACTTTTCAGCCTCGTCGATTCATTCAGTATCACGCATACCCACGCGACCAACCCCCAAGACGCGACGAAACAAATTGCGGCGGCGCCACTGACCGATCGCATAGCTCGACGACATAACCCGAGTCGCAACATCACCGAGACCACGATTCTACCATCCTCAAACAGCAAAAACTCAAGACACTTTCGAGGTAACCCCCAGCACCACCACAACACCTAGCCGAACGAAGCTTTCCAAGATGAGGCTCACGGCGGAGCTCATCAAGGGCTCGCTCTCCTACCTGAACCCGCTCAAGGAGCGAGAGCTCGATCTCCGAGGTGCGTTTTGTGTGAAAGGAGCAGATACTACACTTTTTTGAGGGCCAGAATTGATAGCGTCTTGCGCCGGTTGGAATGAATAGGACATCGAATCCCGGCGATTGAGAATCTGGGTGTCGCAGGCGTGAGTTTTTATTCTTCTTCCTCCCTCCCTACCCTCCTTCCCTCGATATTACTTTATCCCCCTCAAAGCTCTTGGAAGAGAAATTAGAAGGGAAAGCGCTTTTGCTGACCGTATTGCGAAAAATAGCCCCACGACTCCATCGACTTCACCGACAACGACATCCAAGTCCTGGGCAACTTCCCGCTCTCGGCGCGCCTCTCGACGCTGCTGCTGGCGCACAACCGCGTCGCGAGCATACAGGCCACGCTCCCCCAAGCGGTCCCGAACCTGCAGCAGCTCGTGCTGGCGTCGAACCAGATTGCGCAGCTCGCGGACCTGGATGTGTTGGCGGGGTTCAAGCGGTTGACGCATTTGGTGTTGGTGGATAACCCGGTGACCAAGAAGGAGGTGCGAAACTTTTTTTTCCTTTCCAACCCTGTTTGCCCTTACCCCTTTACTCAATTCTCTTGACGGGAACGAGGGGGGTGATTTCACGGCGGAGAGAGAGAGAGGGGGAGAAAGGCTGACAGCGAAGGCTTAGAACTACCGATACTGGGTCGTCTGGAGGTGTCCGACTGTGCGGTTCCTGGATTACCAAAAGGTCAAGGAGGCGGAGAGGGAGAAGGCGAGGGAGCTGTTTGGTACGGCGGAGGAGCCTACGGATGCGGCGGCCAAGGTATGTTTAACCAATCCTCCTCTCCTCTTCTTCACACACACACACACACACACACACACACACACACACGCACGCACCTCCCATCAAGCTTTTTACACGACTACTCTTTTACCACGGTGCAAGACCAAAAACACTACGCGATACTTACTTTTGCGTGTGTTCTTAGATCATGGGCAACAAGTCCAAACAACTCGACATCGCCGCCTCCAACGGCACGGCCGGCGGCGGCGGCGGCGGCGCGACCTCGAAGCTCTCGAGGATAAAGCTCACGGACAAGGAGAAGGAGCGGCTGAAGGAGATGATCAAGAAGGCCGACAGTCTGCAGGAGATTATCCGGCTGGAGAAGATGTTGACCGAGGGGACTATCCCGGCGGGTGTACACCTGGATGGGGACGCCACCATGGAGGACTGAGTGTTGGTTGCGGCAGGAGGATGCCCCCCTACCCTCGAATACCTCTTATTTTCAAGAGAGACAGATAGGACGGGCGAAGGATTCACTCGAAGGAGACTTACGAGGCAACTTCAACTACGGTTGCGCAAAAAAGAAAACGGGTCATATCATGGACTGGCGTTTGTTTTGTTGATGAAGAAGAACCAAAAAAGAGGATACTTTGGGTTGAAGACGAAACTTGTGTTACCCTTTTTACTAATGGATGGAGGGTTCATTGGACCCGAGAAGAGAAAAAAGACCGATTCAATACTCGTTCGGCGAGAAAAAAAGGGGAAACAACTATTCATCGTACACTTCGTAATCATTTTTTGTTCCCTCCCCTCCGTTGGTGAATGCTGCGGTTCTGGCTATTATGATGTATGCTCTTAAGCCCCAAGGTCCACTGACTAAGGTGCCCCTATCCTGTACAAACAGTTGCAAACAAGAGGCTGCCAAGCTTCCAGATGGTCTTTTCAGCTCAAGGAAAAAAGGGGCCTGGCCTGACCCTACAATGGAGTGCTGGAGAGGAAAGACGGACTAGAATCTCGCCTATCCCGTCATGTCAACGTCCTCGTCACCAGCCGCCTGACGAGCCTCGGCATCCAGCTGGGCGTTTGGGTCGTCGGAGTGGAAGGAAGCAGCCGTGACTGGATCCGAGGCGGCGGCGGCTGCTGAGCCGTTGATACCGTTGCTGTTGCTGCTAGAAGCGCCTGCGTTGGCGGTTTTAGTTTTGAGGGTCGACTGCCGCTTCTTGGGCTCCTGATCGGCTTTCCTAGGGTTGAGGCGCGCCGCCGCGGCGGAGTCCTTGATTTGTTTGTAGGGGACCGTCTTGGGGATGACGTCTTCGAGAAACTCGAGGTTGTCGTGGTGGTTGACTGCGGTTGCTAGAGGGTGTGGTGTGTTAGTGGCTGTTTTCAATTTTGCTTCTACTACCTCATTTCTCAACACCTCAGGGGGAGCCTTGACGCAGATGGAGGCAAGAGGGAAGAGAAAGCAGAACATTGTTCCGTAAGAATCACGTACACAAGTCTTTGTATTGAACGTTACGACGGGGTTTACGCTCTGCCTTTGCCATGTTATGGCCCTCGGCGGCGAGGTACTGGATGAACATTTCCTTTGAGTGAAGGGTCAGCATAAGCCTTTGATGAGAAGACGAGGAAGAAGAGCGTAGGTGGGAGCATCATACCGTTGCCAGAGTAATGACAAAAGCCGCGTTGTTTGAGCAGATTCCAATGTCTGGATCTGTGCCAATGATCTTCTTCACGCGGGCCACTTTCAGGGGGTTGTCAGAAAAGTCTGTGATACTGTCAAGAGGGAGGTGAATGACTTACGAGGCAGGGCAGGCTGGCCTGTGACCTCCTTTCTGGGAGGTATCGCATTGTTGTTGGGAGGCATTGTGAGTTGAGATGGGATGTGAGTGGTGTGTTGTCAGAAGGTGAGGTTCAGGTGATGTGCCTTGAACGATGTTAGCTGCATGAGACCATGTACTGTGGTTTGAAAGCTCGTGTAAGTTGGCAAGACCATCCAAGCTGCCTAAAAAGGCTCGGATATGGAATGGAATTGGGTTTGGTGAAGGACTTGGTTGGCCTCTCACGAAAGTGCCACACGAAAGCCAAGCAACAGAGACCGTCTCTGGAGCTCATACAAATCCAGTCTAGTGACCGGGTGCATGTAAGTGAGCCCGAGAATGCGTCCAAGGTGTCTTTTATGACATCCTTACATTATGTACGATGCCGAATTCCATGGTCATGGCAATAATTTCCATTTCTTAAGGTTGACTCGGGGACTGTGATGAAGGTAAAGAAGGACCGCCTACCTGATTGAACCTTGGCGTGAGTGCCCGCCGAGGAGGATAAGGGGTCGGAGAGATACTGGCGTCTATGGTCGAGTCTGCTTGGTCATATGCTGAATGAGCTGATAGGTTTTGATTCAACAATTACTTTGTTGAAGAGTTGCCGTGGTATTGCCGCTTGCAGGATTCGTGGGTGTGAGATGTCTTTCTTCTCACAGGTGGTCGTCAAGGAGAGAGGGAATCACTTTTGAAAGAGTCGGGTCGCGCCAAAAAGGCCACTGGGACGCGACCACTAAAAACGCGCCGGTGTGCAGCATACCAGGCGAGGTAAGTGGAAGCTTAAACGCCAATTGCAGGGGAGCCCCCGCCACTTTGGAGACGTTCACAGCGTCCCCAGTGGCCCAATTAGCTGGGAGACGGCAAATCGGCCACCATTGTCCTCATCATCCTTGCTCACCCAGCTAGCCTCGTCGCCGCAGCCTGCGACTACAACTAACTACCTACCCTTGGTGATTGGCAAGCAAAGAAGGCCTGCCTGGAGAAGATCTACAACTCGATACCATACAAAGCCTTGTTAGAACAAGAGCCAAACCGAACAAAAAGCAGCCAACCTCCGAGGACGACACCCATTGGGACGTCCGCCGCTTCACTACGAATCCTCGACCGCCGCGAACATGAGCACGGCGCGCATGCGACGACAATGACTTCCCGAAGCACATCCTTCTCGCACAGCCCGCACCGGCCCCCGCGCCCTTCCATCAGCTCGAGGATCTCCTTTGCCGTCTCGACCGCCGAACAGAGCGAGCACGATGACGAGGCCGCTGGCGCCCCGCCCGCGAGTCATCAGCAGCAGCAGATCGAAGACGAGATCGCCGAGATCAAGCGCTACGAGGACTTCACCACCATAGACTGGGTACAAGATGCCGCGAGGGAGCAGGCACGCAAGAAGCTGCGCCGGAGGCGGCGTGCCGGTATGCTCGACACAGGCCAGGCGGCGGGCTGGAGGTATCGTCTTCGCGAGTCCTACGACGCTGCGCAGGGCTGGCTCGTCGTCACGCTGATTGGTATCGCCATTGGGCTCAATGCTGCGTTCCTCAACATCATTACGGAGTGGTTGTCCGATATAAAAATGGGGCACTGCACGACGGCCTTCTACCTGAACGAGAACTTTTGCTGCTGGGGCGAGGACAATGGATGCGACGAGTGGCATCCTTGGACGGGGTTCGGCCCAGTCAACTACGTTATCTATATCGTCGTTGGCGCCCTCTTCGCCTTCACCTCGGCCACTCTGGTCAAGTCGTTTGCGCCGTACGCCGCGGGATCGGGTATCTCTGAGATCAAGTGTATCATTGCGGGCTTCGTCATGAAGGGGTTCTTGGGATTCTGGACGCTCTTGATCAAGTCCGTCTGTCTGCCCCTGGCCATCGCCTCTGGCTTGTCCGTCGGCAAGGAGGGTCCTAGTGTGCACTACGCCGTGTGTACCGGAAACGTCATTTCTCGCTTATTCGAGAAATACCGACGCAACGCATCGAAGACGAGGGAGATTCTGAGCGCGTGCGCTGCTGCTGGTGTCGCCGTCGCGTTCGGTAGTCCCATTGGCGGTGTGCTTTTCTCTCTGGAAGAGATGTCCAACTACTTCCCCCTCAAGACGTTGTGGCGTAGCTACTTCTGCGCTCTTGTGGCAACGGCTGTGCTTGCGGCCATGAACCCCTTCAGGACGGGACAGCTCGTCATGTTCCAGGTCCACTACGATCGCTCGTGGCACTTCTTCGAGGTTGTCTTTTACATCATCCTGGGCATCTTTGGCGGCCTATACGGCGCCTTTGTGATGAAGTGGAATTTGCGGGCTCAGGCGTTCAGGAAGAAGTACCTGTCAAAGTATGCCATCGCAGAGGCAACGATTCTCGCGGCCGGAACTGCCATCATCTGCTACCCCAACGTCTTTTTGAGAATCGACATGACCGAGAGCATGGAAATCTTGTTCCTCGAATGCGAAGGGGCCGAGGACTACCACGGCCTGTGCGAGCCAGACAAGAGACTTTTCAATATCTTGTCGCTGGCCCTGGCCACAATTCTGAGGGTTCTGCTGGTCATCATCTCCTACGGCTGCAAAGTGCCAGCCGGTATTTTTGTTCCGTCCATGGCCATTGGGGCTTCGTTTGGGCGGACAGTGGGCATTATTGTTCAGGCAATCCACGAGGCCAACCCTACAAGTGCCTTCTTTGCAACTTGTAAGCCGGACGAGCCGTGTATCACCCCCGGCACATACGCATTCCTCGGCGCTGCTGCCGCGCTGAGTGGTATCATGCACATCACCGTGTCCGTCGTTGTCATCATGTTTGAGCTCACCGGAGCCTTGACGTACATTCTACCCACCATGATCGTCGTCGGCGTGACCAAGATCGTCAGCGAAATGTTCGGCAAGGGCGGCATTGCGGATAGAATGATCTGGTTCAGCGGCTTCCCCTTCTTAGACAACAAGGAAGAGCACAACTTTGGCGTCCCCGTCTCGGAGGTGATGCGAAAGGAGCTTACATCTTTGCCTGTGACTGGCATGGAATTCGCCGAGCTGGAGAAGCTTCTCAAGGAGGACAAGTACCAAGGCTTCCCCATCGTGGAGGACACAACCTCAAAGATCCTCGTTGGCTACATCGGCCGCACCGAGTTGCGCTACGCCGTTGACCGCGTCCGGCGGGAGCGACCCATCAACTCGGAGGCGCGATGCATCTTCTCGCCTCCGCCGGCTTCACTCAACGCCACTACTCCACTGACACCGACCGTGACGGTCAACCTAGACCCGATGTCAACCACGTCGGTTGACTTCAGCCGGTACATTGACACCACGCCCGTCACGGCGCACCCGCGCCTACCCCTCGAGACCGTCATGGAACTCTTCCGCAAAATCGGCCCCCGTGTCGTGCTCGTCGAGTACCACGGCCGTCTGTCGGGTCTGGTGACGGTCAAGGACTGCCTCAAGTACCAGTTCACAGCCGAACACGCCGAGAACCCGCGCGACGACTCCGCCTTTGCGGAGAGCCAGGAGAAGTTGTGGAGCGGGATACGGCGTGCGGCTGGCTGGGTTTCTGGCAAGGTATCGATGGCTTCCGGCGGGAGAATCCAGCTTTCGTCGTTTGAAGAGCGGCGTGGTCTTGGCGGCAGTGGCAGTGGTGGTGGAGGTAACAACAACGGCGGAGGCAGTGGTGGAAGGCCGGCTGGGGCGCAGATATTAGACGGCGACGAGGATGACGTCGATGACGGTGCTTTGGAGCTCGAGAA